GGGGGGCGAACCAGGACCTTCCGATCTGCAAGCAACGTCTACCGCTACCCCAGGGCGCCCCCCACTATTTAAAATAAAATAATATGTCAGTAAATGAGGCTTCGAACACGCCTTTTAATCCCGGGTCTGGGCTTGTCGTACCTGGGCTGCCCGGACTTTTTTTTTCTTGCTTTGGGTTTTGACCTGGTACCGGAGAGCTATGTTCTAAAAAGTAGGGGCAACTACTGAAGGTAAAAATTGTACCAAAAAACACAACATAAACATGCTGGGGTTGGCTCTGAACGTCCTGTAAAGGATGGTAACAACCCCTTTTCAACATATATAAAAAGATGCTTCTGCTGGGGGGTTTGTGTGGCCTTTTTTCTGAATTCTTTCATTCATCGTTTTACTCTCTGGGCTGCTCTTGGGTTTGTCCCCCCCCCCCTTGAAAACTTTCAAAGTCGTATCCGGGGGGCAGACCAACGGGGAAAAAACCCCCCATACCCTGCTTAGCCCCCAAAGAATGTTGTAATTAGGACACCCGTAATGTGTACACTGGAGTGCTCAGTCCTATCTTCAGCAGCCAGCGAAGAGTTTCCAATTCCGATGGTACCAGTAACTGCCTGATTGTATATTCGTCTAATTCTTTCCCTGAGTGTTGAGCGTCGGCCAGATCCCCTGGTATCTCCTTGCAGCGCCATTCTCCTTAGAACATAATGGTCTATCTGCTCCTTTGCACTGTTCACACCGTTTTCAGTTGACAGAACTATGACAAAATTATGTTCTTTTCATTGTTATGCATTTTGTTTGTGTGTGTGGTGTTTTTGTTTTATTGAGAAGTACATTGACATGACTTGATTTTTAATCAGGAGGAAGCAGAAGATCTCTTATTGAGTACAGCTGCTGCTGCCATTCTGAAAATTCAATGTGGTGTTTATTTTACAGATTGCCAACTCTCTCCTTATGCTTCAGGTAAAATCACAGTATTATATTTTTGGTAAAACTAATGTTTTGCTCCCCAGATCCCACCCATTTACACGCTAGCTCACTTTTAATTAGTAGACCTTGAGCCACGTAGCCTTGGCACAAGGTTATGGGTGCTTTCCGCACTGCCATTGATATTGCATGTTGTGATAGTTTCAGCATGGTCAGCGCTTTTAACGCTCCAAAAAAACATGGACAAAACTGCTGGGTCTAAACATAAACCCTTCTAGAGAGTGCTGCAACCTATGTCACAGGCATTCTCTTTTTCAGGATTTCTTTTTCGTCTTCTTGTTCACCGCTGTGTATTTCCGGCGGTAAGTCGCGGTTGTTCGTACCAAAATGGAGACTTTTGGCTTTTACCTTGACCTGAGTTTTCCGTGTACATCCAATCCCCCCTTTTTACTGGCTTATTTGTTTGCAGTTCTCGTCCCCCCCCGCCTCTCCGGCAGATGTACTCCGACTTCGGAGAATTGTTCAGGATAAAAATGTAAATGTAGACAAACCCAGAAAGCAAAACAACACCCTTAAGCGACACATCCCTTAACTGCAAGAAAGTAGACCAGCCCAACAAACTTGTGAATGAAACGTGGACCTACTTTGTTTTTGGGAAGACTAACTTAAACCTTTAAAAAGATTTTTTAATTATTGTTAGAAATGACATTTATATTTTGTTTAGCCTATTTTGGTTATACTTTGATTATTGTACTGTTTTAAAAATTCTTTTAATGGTTTATAAAAGTGGGGAGATAAACTTTATTTAAGCTGGGTTTTGCTCCTTTTTACACCATTATTTTATTTACAAAAAGCTTGGGTTTGCCTCCTTTTTTACAAAATACAAAAAGATTGCACAAAATCATTTAACTAAACTATCCCTTTATCATATATACACACACAACACACACATGCATGCACGCATGCGAGTGCGCACACACACACACGTGCGCACACATTCACGCACACACACCCCTCCCCCACACCACCATAGAAGCTCCAATTCGTTGACAATTAAACATCTACAATTTTTCTATTGTGTACAGAAATAAAATGTGTTTTGTTTTGATGATAATTTCTGGTGTGGTATGTTCACAGACAACACTGCATTAGACAGATGGACTTCAAGACAGCAGGGGACTGTATTCTGGGTGCAGGTATGTGATTGTGAATAACCTGGGGGGGGGGGGGGATGTCAGATATGTTGACCTAAAAGATGCAAATATCGCAGACATGTTGTAAAGTGGCACAATGCAGTGTGTGTCCTTGCAAATGTGCACAAAAGGGCACTCAAGTAATCTTAGTAATCTTAGTTTCATCTTCATAGCAGACGGGTCACTCCATGGTTGTTCCGTTCCTGTGCCAATGAAAAGCACACAGAATGTCCATCACTGTCCCTTGTGGAAAAACTGGCACAGACCGCAGTCTCAGCATATCCACTAGCATACAGACATTTAAAGCATAATCACGCAAAGTTGTCCTGTTCTTCACCATCATGTGCATCTCACTCCATGTCCTCCCTGTCTTTTCCTCTTCATTCTCTAGTTCGCTGTCTCCAACCAATGAAGTGTCATTCTAGTTATATTTTTATCAGGTTTCTCATTGTGTGTCCTATCCAAAGCCAGTGTCTTTTCCTCACCTCTTGATTTACTGGAATTTTGTTAATTCTTTCCAAAGCTCTACATTAGTGATTGTGTCATTCCACTGTATTCCTTCTATGTTGCTCAAGCACTAGCCAGTGAATGTTTGTAGTTTATACCTGACTACCCTTGGGCCCCAATCTGGGTTTTCTTTTATTGTTGATATTTTGAAGTGTTGACTTGAAATCCGGTGCTCTGATTGTGGTAGATGTTTCCTGATGCAGGGGGGTCTTGCTAGTCACACTCGACCCAGGCTGATTCCCACACCTCCTCCCAGTATAGCACTGTCATCTAGAAAATGGAAAGGTGCATTACTGAAGTCTATATCAACACATTCATTCTTCTTCTGCCTTTCTAACACCCAAGAAAAAGGAGGAGGAAGAAGATCATCATCATCCTCTGCCAACTCACACCAAGTTGTTCTGTCCTTTACCATCGCATACAGCTCTCCCTATGTCCTCCCCATCTTTTCAGCTTCACTCTTTATTTGTATGCCTCTGTAGGTTCCAGTGCAAAGACATTCTCGTTATATTGTTCTCAGGTTTCTCAGCGTGTGTCCTATCCAATGCCAGCATCTTTTCCTCACTTTCTTGTCAACATATAATGAAGCAGAAAACGCTCATCTTTTTCAACTCGGATGCACAAATCACTAAAAAAGTATTTTATGGCGAGCACCAGCAAGGGAAGAGGTCCCAGGGAGGACAGAAAAAGCGCTATAAGGACACTCTGAAGACTGCTCTTAATTCTTGTGGCATCAACACAGCGACATGGGAGGCTGCTGCACAAAACCGTTCTGGGTGGCGTACGTCGCTCATGCATGGTGTATCGGCCTGCCAGGCAACGGAGGTTGAACAGGCAGAGAAACAGAGGCAGACTAGAAAGAATCGTACTGCTAATCCCACACTTACTGTGGCTACCATATGTTGTCCACACTGCTCAAGAACCTTCCAGGCACATATTGGACCAATCAGTCACCTTCGTACTCATAATCATTGATCATTACTACTTTGGATGAAAGTGGTTTTCATCACGCGTGATGGATGAACGCCAAAATATCTTGTTTAGAACAGAATGGAGGGCTGGACTCCGAGCCCTGTCACATGATGCATGTCTCTTGTTACGCTTGACTTCCTACCAATGGAATTCCAAGATTTACCATGTGATTAGGTAAAGGTAAAGTCGGGAGATGTGAACCAGCGTCATTGCACATGGTTATAAACCATAAGCGCTCTGCCACCAGTACGGACAGCTGATAAGAAATTGTCCGCCTGTAACTCCGTAGCTACAGCGACGTTCCTCCATTTACCCCAGAGTATTAACTCTGGTACCCATTTCCTAGAGGCTGGGTGAACCCCAGGAACTGCCCGGTTTCAGCAAATCGCAGCTGGATTTGAAAGCGAACCTCTTATCGACTTCGCTAACGTGGCCCCCATGTGATTATCAAAAAAGTCTGAGATTGGGGACATGAGACTTGTTTACATATTGTGGAATCGCATGTCTCAAATTTAAATAACTGCCTCTTGAGTGTCTGTTAAATAAGTTTATTAAAAATATCTGAGTTGTTGATAATTGTGCTCATAACAGGGAGATCCGATGGCATGGCCGTGTTCTTTTCAAACAGCCATGGTATTTTTAGTGTATCATTGCCAGCCACGGATGCCAGGTTGGTCTAAGTTATATTATTTCATTATGTCGTTATGAGGGCTGTTACTAGTATTAGTTTATCATGTTGATAGATGTTGATCTGCTGTTATTATTATTTTTGTTGATATGAGTTAACATTACAATTATTACTTTGTTGAATTCATCTTCATCAACAAGTGCCTTGCCGACTGGCTTGGTTAAAAATGGTTCTCCACATGCAGTGACTCCAACAATGTGTATCGGCTCATGTGCTCACACTCCTTCATGCGCCGACGAAAAGGGCTGTCCAGAATCTTCTCTCATTGTCTTCTTCTGTCTCTCTTTTCATAAATCTTTACAGTTGTCACATGCTAATTGTTGTTCCTTATCATTATCATCGAGTGCCTTGTCGACCGGCATGGGTGATCTTGCCTATATACTATGTGCATTCTTCAACAACATGCAGCAGTTCATATGTTGACACTTCCTCCATGCCATTACATGTTGTATTTCTCTGTTTCTTTCTCCAGGATCTTTCCAGTGACCACTGTGTTTTCTAGTTTCTTTCTCAAATGATACCCCCACCACTAAAACAAAGAATGGCCGTCTCTTTCTGATGTTTGTGTTTAGTTCTCTTCTAGTCCTCACATTATTCAAAACATCTGGGTTGCTCTTTTCGTAGCTTGTCAGAAAATGATGATTGCCTCTGTATTTTATTTATGATAAGTTGTCTTTGGGTCTTAGCCTTCCTCTAAACATGTGGATGATTCACTTAAGACCTCTGAACATGTGGATGATTTATTTAGGACAGTGGTTTTCAAGCTTCCTAATGATGCGACCCTTTAATACAGTTCCTTATGTTGTAGTGGGACCCCCCCCCAACAACATTATTTTCGTTGCAAAGAGACCTTTTGAATGAAGCTGACTGACAAAGAGAGTTGACTGCCCACTTTAGAAGAAGACAGTCTTCATTTATTTCTTGATGTCATAAGGAGGAGAAATGTGGAGTGCAGCGTGATGGCAGGCAAGTGGTTGATGGGGAGGGCGGGAAGCAGACAGAGGGGAGAGAGAGAGAAGAAGAAGAAGAAGAAGAAGATGATGATGCTACACAATTTGATCTCTTGACTTGGAAGATCTTCAGTGTCAGAATTCATTGAAAGTTCATCAAACAGAAGGTTGTGGATAAGACATGACTCTCAGTGTCACATGGTATGGACTATAAAAAGACGATTTTAATATTTTCTTAAACAATTAATTTGGTTCTATTTTGATCCTACATCCAGTGTCTTGGATGAATCAAACAATCAGACACATTTCTTGTCAAGGAATGAGCTGGTAAGTTTCTTGTTCTGTGAGTTTCATCTTTTTTTGTTGCATTTTTATTTTGATTTCTGTCATCTCCCGTTGAGGGTAGGTTTTTCACTAACTTAACCATGCGGTCTCTTTTTTTTTTTTTACTATAGCCTCCAGCTCACATTATGTATACCCTGGTAATTCTATTTCTCTGATTATCTTTGTGTGTCTTTAGGTCTCTCTTTCTCTGTCTGTCTCTGTCTCTCCCCCCCCCCCCCACCCCCCCTTCCCCCCTATATTTGTTCGCTCAGATTCTTGTTATACTGTGAGGGGGGGGCTACAAATATAAACCTTACAACTGTAAAAAAAAATTACAATTACCATGCAATTGTCTTGTAATTTTTCAGTATTGTTGTTAAGGATGTCAAGAGTCTTAGGCACATGACATGACGGCCCAGACGATATAGTGCAGGTCCCAGAGGACCTTACCACTTAGATACAATGGTAGTAAGCATTTTTTAGATATTTTCTTCGGGGTATGTAGGAGTGTTAGGAAATATTAGGATAACAGGCAGGCAGATTTACTGCTTCTACACCAGTGAGTGGTGAATTTATCCATGACAGTCTAGATATGGTCAGTGCCTTAAGGAGCAGGTTAACAATTGTGGCGCCGCCAATAGATCATTATGGTCGGAAGAACGGTACAGCTGAGATTAACCAGGTGATCTGGTCGACACTACACTCAGGGGAAAGGCAAGTTGGGCATAAATAAAAATGTTACTAGCGGCATCAGGATTAGAACTGTTAATTCGCTGCTGAAGATGAGAATGGAACGCTAAATTGAGTGTCCACAATGCTGTGATATCAGTTCTTAGCTCAACACGCAACAGCATACAATGATAGTAGAGCTATTGGTCACCCACACAAGTAATTGGTAGATGGAATGTTCCAGATAGTGCATACCCGCATTCATGACGCACACACATGATGACTCCTCAAAAACCTGATGCTGAAAGGCAGAACAGGGACCAGAGAAAAGAAGAAGAAGACCTCGGCTAATAGCCAGCCCAAAATGGTACCAGGAAATATCCTGGGAAATAAAAGCAGCCAGCATGATGTTGATCTCATGACCCATCAAATTTTACTTTATAAAAATATGAGTCAGCATCATATGTCCAGGTCACCTCAAGGCAAGACAAGTATTTGTGACCTTTATCTGTGTTTTTGAGTTGAGAAAGGTGAAAACAGGCATGCTTCGTGCAGAGTGGCAAGCATCACTTCAGAGGTCCCGGGTAATTAGCATCCTTTGGATATTTTCTCCTGGGTATGCCGGTGTGTTGGGAAATGAGCAGGCAGATAGACTGGCTGGTTCTGCACCACATGGTGTTGAACTGATGTATGACAAGCTGGAATTCGTGAGGGCCCTTTGGGAACGGGTGAACAGTGCGGAGGTGCAGACAGATCATTACGGTCTGAGGAGAATGGCACTGCAAGGAGTTACTGGAGGATCTGACCGACGCTTCAGGGGAGGGATGAGACGGATACACAATCAGATGGTTACTGGTACCATCAGAATCGGAACTCTTCGGTTGCTGTTGAAGATGGGAGCTGAGCACATATGGGAGAGTCCCGAGTGCTGTGATGTCGATTCTTAATTCGACATTCAACGTTCTTTTTTTTTTCCCTTTCTAGTCAGGTATGGTGGCCAATATGTCAAGGATGTCAGAACTAACGGAAAGTGACGACAGCAAGACCAAGCTGAAGGCAGCATTCATAGCTTCAATCAGTGGTGACCAGGTGAGTATCTTTGTTGTCTTGTGACTTTTCCCCCCACATTTTATGACTCACTATCTATGGATGAAGGGTTGTGAATACAGCTTTACAATTTTGACATAAAGGCTTCAGAATGAGCAAGACCAAGCTGAAGGCATCTTTCATAGCTTCAATCAGTGGTGACCAGGTGAGTATCTTTGTTGTCTTGTGACTTTTCCCCCCACATTTTATGACTCACTATCTATGGATGAAGGGTTGTGAATACAGCTTTACAATGTTGACATAAAGGCTTCAGAATGAGTTGAAGTGGTTTAGAAGCAGACTGCTCTGTGTAGATTTCAGCAAACTGTATTAGTGAGTGTTGATTGTTCTTTTTTTTTTTAATTGATCATCTTCATGGCACAACGGACATGACCATAAGTGCTCCTATCTCCCCCTCCAAGTGTTTTCAGGTTAACAAGTCCCATTCTGTTCTGGTCGATGTAACGACAAGTGGCTCCTGCATGGTTTTCCTGTCATACGGCTCCAATTAGTACACTAAGGGTGTGTAGTCTGTTCAGTGAAAAGTCATTTTCCATGAAACTGAAAGCATCACAGGGTTTACTCACTCCAAATGTTGAATTAAGAATCGACACAGCACTTGGGACACTCCCATAAGTGCTCAGTCTCCATCTTCAGCAGCAAATGAGTTCCAATTTCAATGGTACCAGTAACAGTCTGATTGTCTCCATCCGTCTCATCCTTGCCCTGAGTGTTGAGCGTCGGCCAGATCCCCTGGTAACTCCTCGCAGGGCCATTCTCCCTAGACCGAAATGATCTGTCTGTGTCTCCGCACTGTTTACTCGCTCCCAAAGGGCGCTCACATTATCTAACTTGTCATACATCAATTCATCACCTCCTGTCCATAGAAGGCCCACTTCTTATAGTTGCACTGCCAGCCAGAGCGTCTGCTAGTGAGTGTTGAACCATTCATAATGTTGCACTAGCCTCGGATCCATTGCTGAGCTTTTCTTCTTAAAGTCCATTCCATGTGGCGTTAGTAGTAATGTCCGCCCACAGCCTAGTGTCTCGTGTACTTTCAGTCAACTCTGACACAGATGATCCTCAATGCCATGATGTCACACATGGAAAATATACCAAACCCCCCCCCCCCCCCCCCCCCCCCCCCCCCCCCCCCCCCCCCCCCCCCCCCCCCCCCCCAAAAAAAAAAAAATTAGGTCTCTATTGCAGTGGAAAAGCAGTTGATAGTTGATTAATATGGGCAGTAGCATCATCATCATCGTCACACAGTTGTGTCATTATATGTCACATATGGCTCTCAGTCTTCTTCCAATACATACTTTTCCGTAGTTTTCCCTAATGTTCTGTATGCTTTTCCCTCATAAGCATCAAGTAAAAGTCGACTAATTATGAGTGTTTCCTTCAAAATCGAACTGCATCTGCCTAAAAGGTGAGAAAACCAACAGTCTGCACACAAAATAAGCCACACAGATAAACCAGATCTGTAAAAATGGATATGCATACAAAACTTTTGTACAAGAGACCAAAAAGGAGAAATGGACAATCAGGCCTGAACTTTCAGCCAGAGTCTACAACCCATAGATAATAGGAAGATAAAGACATCAGTTCCACGAATAAATATAAAATCTATTTCATAAACAAACATTCATAAATATGACTCATGCCCATTACATGTATAAATGAGATAAATGTGCCAGATATTCACTTCATGTATAAGCACTTAAATGGTATCCACTCTGGAAACAAACATGATAAAGATATAGCTACCACTTCATGAGTGCAGAAACTGCCATGATGTAGGTGCTCACCTGTGGATCAGAAGGTTGTGGGTTCAAGTCTGAATGGAGCCGTCCCCATGTGGGTTCCGGGGCCCCATTATGGGGAAAACAAAAATAGATTTACTGCTTTCCCAGCAAGCATGTTATTGAAGTCGACTAACTGGGGTCTTCCTTCGAAGTCGGAGTGCATCTGCCTGAGAGGCAAGGAACAACCAGCTGCACACATATAAGTCAGTAAAATGGATGTGCACGCAAAACTCAAAGCCAAATTCCAAATGGATAAACAGTCAGGACTTTCCGCCGGAACTTACAGCCGGTTAACAAAGAAAAAGAACGTAGGCAGACTTGTTTTTAAAAAAGGATCTCGGTTCCCAGTTCTGCCCAGCCATAAATGGGTGCCTGGTAAAGTTCTGGGAAGTAAAGGTGGCCAAGGGGATGTTGATCCTATCACCCACCAAGTGTCGATTGGGTCTGTAAAATATAAGTCTAGCACTGTGTGCTCGATTAACCTGAAGGTGTGGACAAGTGTACAGGTAAAATGTGTCTCCTCCTCGAACCAGAAATATGACATATTTGCAGGGTGAGGCTCTCAGCTTAGTTGAAGAGCTGCTGCTGCTGGCTAGACACGATGCAGATGGCCAGGGTTCGGAGCTGGACACGGTTGTTGCTGAGGTCAGCAAGGATCTCATTGATGACTACCCGAATGCTGACCCTAGATGGGCAGAGTCCAACCGACAAGGTAGGAGAATGTGGATGTGGTTGGTTGTTGAGGAAAGGCTGATAAATACGTGTGTACCACACATGTATATCACTCATATAGAATCAGTTGTATCACTCGTGTGTATCACTTATGTGTATCACTCATGTGCATCACTCATATCTACATCTGTATCAGTCATATTTATGAGTCGCTTGTATCAATCGAGTTTCACTTATGTATATCACTCATATATACATCTGTATCAAACATATTTATGAATCAGATGTTTTACACATGTGTATCACTTATAGATCGCTCATATATACATCTATATCTGTAACGATGGAGGTGACACAAGCTTTCATGTTGCTAAAATCACAGGACTGTTCTCATGTGTGTGTGTATGCGTGTGCGCGTGCTGATTCTACAAGCATGATCCGGCTGGTCAAGGCAGACTTCAAATGCATTGGACTGTGTGATTGCAACTTTTTGTTCTAGGGTATGCAGGTGTTGTTGGCTGTGAAAGAGCTGACAGATTGACAGGTTCTGCATTAATTGTAGATGGCTGGCCTATGGATCACACAGACATTGTCAATGCCCTGAGAGGGAGGGATAGGACATTCCGAGGACTTTAGAAGCAGCGTGTCCACATCACTGCTAAGAATACAAGAATTGAGAGTAGAGGTCGACACAGCCAAGCATGAGAGACACACTGGACGCGTAAAAAGTCTTGTCAGCCAGCAGGGGTCTGGCATTATTAACCATGCAACAGTGGTGAATATGTTGAAGGGGGAATCTGAGCACATATTTATGTGTCTGGAGTGCAGTGAAGATAATCCAACTCAAAAAATCTGTCAATCATATTTGTCAGATGTATCACTGATATTTTTCTCATATATATCACTGTTTTCTACATCAGATTCTACAAGCAACACAGCATCTGTTATCATTACCCAACAGCTGAAGGATAAGGAAAAGGCCCATGACTTCTTCGTTGGCTTCTTAAAGAAATATGGCTTGTGGGAAAAGGTAAGAGATATTACTTGAAAGTTTTCAGTTGTTAGACGACTCCATAGACCATTGAAATAGCCTTAGACATGTCCGATTAAGCGCAGCAGGGCCTGGCATCATGACCCAGGTTGGCCCACCTTCTGACATTGTTTAGGATGGTAACAGGCCGAAACAATTGTCGATGGAGGATCTTCTACTGATGACCGGTAGACTCCTGCAGTGTATGCTCGCCTGTTTAGTTTTTTTGTGTTATTATTGGTACATCTCTTGTTTTCAGGTCCAACAACATCATGGTTTGCCGTTCATTGATGCATCTTTACCTTTCACACATTCGGCTTTCTCTTACAGGGGTGTTAGGTTGCATAGTCTCCTACACTATCACCGGCGATGTCCTGCGCTCCATAGTACACCATGTTACTGTCACATTTAACTACCCAATAACATCTACAACTGGCTTAACTCCAACCCCCCCCCCCCCCACTCCCAGGTGTGACAGCTTCAGAATAGGTTCCACAAGAGAGTGCATTCTAACCTGACACCCGTGTAAGGGAAAGTCGCGCGTGTGAAAGGTTAAGATTAAGATGCATCAATGAACGGCCAATCACAGTGTCGTCGCTGGGCCAAAAAACATGAGTAGTTCCATAGCTTTTTCTATTTTTTCATTGACCGCTAAAGAGTTTCAGGAAAAGTGTTACAATCTTCAGTTCTTTTTGTGGGAAAAGGAAGAGACCCTCTGAAACACCCCCCTTCCATCCCTCCTCTCACCCCCCTTCCCCCCAACAAGTATGTTATAAAATGGGACTAATTATAGATTTGTTGAAATCAGATGTGTTAAGCTGAAAAGGCGCAGATATTTTCAACCTAGTTGTAAACCACAAGATAACAAGTAGACCACCCTTTTACACAAAGTTCCAATTCCAATGACACCAGTAAGAGTCTGATTGTATAGCCGTGTCGCTATTCTGTAAGGTGTTGGCCAGATACCCTAGTCACTCCTTGCAACACCATTCTCCTCAAACTGTGAGGATCTGTGTGTGCCTTCTCACTGTTCACTTGCTCCCAAAGGACTCTTACATCTAGCTTATCAGCATCAGTTCACCACCAGCTTGTGCAGAACCAGCCAGTCTACCTGCCTGGTTGTTTCCCAACACACCCGCATAACCCTGGAAATAATATCCAAAGGGATGCTAACAACTGAGAGAAGATTTAACCTTGACTTCCAAAAAGACATTTGGAGAGTGAAATAGCACGAAAAATAAATTGACAGATATAGACCAGTAAATTAACGTGAGAAATAAATGTGCAGGTAAATTTAAAAAATTCTTCGTCACATTTAAATAATAAAATTTTTTTTAAATGTATCCAGCTGAGTGTGGTAGCCATTAGAGATTCAGTGATGCCAACCCGACTTCTGCTGTGTGAGCACGTGGAGAAACTACAGGCTGCTCTGGCACTCCGAGAGTTGCATGCTGAGTAAGTATCTTATCCGCTTCATACATTGTAGGTGCAGAGTTACTCATATCGGCTGAGAACCATGAACTGGCGTGTCATACGAGAATCCTTGATACCCTGACTTGTCATACGAGAATCCTTGGTACCCTGAACTGTCATACGAGAATCCTTGATACCCTGACCTGTCATACGAGAATCGTTGGTACCCTGAACTGTCATACGAGAATCCTTAGTACCCTGAACTGTCATACCAGAATCCTTGGTTCCCTGAACTGTCATACGAGAATCCTTGGTACACTGAACTGTCATACGAGAATCCTTGGTACCCTGACCTGTCATACGAGAATCCTTGATACCCTGACCTGTCATACGAGAATCCTTGGTACCCAAAACTGTCATACGAGAATCCTTGGTACCCTGACCTGTCATATGAGAATCCTTGATACCCTGAACTGTCATACGAGAATCCTTGGTACCCTGACCTGTCATACGAGAATCCTTGGTACCCTGACCTGTCATACGAGAATCGTTGGTACCCTGAACTGTCATACGAGAATCGTTGATACCCTGACCTGTCATACGAGAATCCTTGGTACCCTGAACTGTCATACGAGAATCCTTGATACCCTGACCTGTCATATGAGAATTCTTGATACTGTGTCCTGTTATACAAGAATCCTTGGTACCCTGACCTGTCATACAAGAATTCTTATGAGATCATGGATTTTTTTCTTCTGGGGGCAAAATTGAAATCCTAACCTGCACAGTGTGTGGAGGCAATACTAGCCACGTAGGCCTAAATCCTCAGGCTCAAAGACCCCTCTGCCTACACCACACAAGTGTTAAATACAGTCTTTAATTGGCAGTTTTGGTAGTTGCTTATAGGTGTAGGTGTCTAGCTTGAAGTATTAATGTAGAACCTATGAAAGTATCGATATTTATCTTTAAGTGGTAACATAAAACCGACTTCCGTTTGCAAAAAAGTGAAAAGCAGCGGTTTTATTTTTCTATGGTTCCGATTTCTCTCTGATTATTCTTTTCCCTTATCATGGACTGCTATTTTGTGTGCATCTAAATGCAGAATACTATGTGTTTTTCGTGAGAGCAGTGTAGTTAGGCTATGTGAGGGTAGGATAATGATCAATAGATTTGGCAGCCTCGACCACACAGCCTTTACAATGTTCCGGGAAGACAGAATTGTCAAAAGAGAACTCCAACTGTCTAGAGCAGGCATTCCCAAACTGTTCACCCCGGCGCCCTGGGGAGCCGTGACCTCTTCACAGGGGCGGCCGGAAATATTAGAAGATACACATTTTTTAAAAAAATCTCTTACATAGGAATAGTCATACTTTTACTTAGGTTAGGGCGCCGTGGAAAAATTTAATTAAAAAAAGGCGCCACGACTAAGAAAAGTTTTGGAAGCACTGGTCTAGAGAGCAAATTTGATAAAAGCAGTCCCCAGAAACGGAATGTGTCAAACATTTGAAGGGGGGGGGGGGGGGTGGGGGTTGACATACCGTTAAGTCAATGGTCATGGACAACATAAAACCTGTGAGAACATAGTACTTTGTTCCAAATTTATTAGTGTTACTTTTCCTGTGAAGTAAACAAGGCAGGCTGAGAGAGGGAACATAATGCATAGACAACACATGGACACTTCAATACTGCCAAGGCTTTATGCTGTGGGGAGGTCCTGAAATCCCATGCAGTAATTGTGGAAGTCTTTTCTCAACTCCACGAATGGATGGCTAAGTGATTACAATGTCGAGCTCTCATGCCGGAGACCTGGGATCGAGCCCCGGTAAGGTGATGGAGTTTTTCTATCGGGGCAAAATTAAACATTCCTAACCTGCACAGTCCATGGCAACAGCACCAGCTATGTGGCTCTAAATCCTTAGGCTGACGACTGTGTGCCGCGGTGCCCTGGGAAACCGTGACCTCTTCACAGAGGCATCGCAAAATATTTGAAGATACACGAGTTTTATTTATTTTTTTGATCTCTTACAAACGAGTAGTCATACTTTTACTTAGGTTAGGGCGCCGCGGGAAATTTTTAATTAAAAAAAGGCGCCGCGACTAAGAAAAGTTTAGGAAACACTGGTCTAGAGAGCAGTTTAGCTTGAAATGTTGACATGCAACCCATGAGTGTGTAGCTGTTTAGCTTCAAATATTAACATGAAACCTACAGATGTTTAACTGTTTGGCTACAAATGTTATATAACCTTAGAAATTTTGGCTGTTAGGCTACGCATTTTATTACAGAACTTTGAAAGTGTCATGCCACAATACTTTTGAGCATTTAGTCCTTTAGCCTAATGTAGACACAATACTTTTGAGCATTTAGTCCTTTAGCCTAATGTAGACAATACTTTTGAGCATTTAGTCCTTTAGCCTAATGTAGACACAATACTTTTGAGCATTTAGTCCTTTAGCCTAATGTAGACACAATACTTTTGAGCATTTAGTCCTTTAGCCTAATGTAGACACAATACTTTTGAGCATTTAGTCCTTTAGCCTAATGTAGACACAATACTTTTGAGCATTTAGTCCTTTAGCCTAATGTAGACACAATACTTTTGAGCATTTAGTCCTTTAGCCTAATGTAGACAACATGGATGTGAATTTTCCTGCGTTTCGTCCAGGCATCACAAAATTGTTGACACCTGCATCAACAAGGCACTGAAGCAGAGGAAAGTGGTTGTCCCAGCTTCCCTTACCCCTCAAGACATGTTTTACAGAGAGGTAGGTCCCATGTTTGTGTGTTGTACCAGCTGTCCCATGTTTGTGTGTTGTACCAGCTGTCCCATGTTTGTGTGTTGTACCAGCTGTCCCATGTTTGTGTGTTGTACCAGCTGCCCCATGTTTGTGTGTTGTAGCAGCTGTCCCATGTTTGTGTGTTGTACCAGCTGTCCCATGTTTGTGTGTTGTACCAGCTACCCCATGTTTGTGTGTTGTACCAGCTGTCCCATGTTTGTGTATTGTACCAGCTGTCCCATGTTTGTGTGTTGTACCAGCTGTCCCATGTTTGTGTGTTGTAGCAGCTGCCCCATGTTTGTGTGTTGTACCAGCTGTCCCATGTTTGTGTGTTGTACCAGCTGTCCCATGTTTGTGTATTGTACCAGCTGTCCCATGTTTGTGTGTTGTACCAGCTGTCCCATGTTTGTGTGTCCTCCCAGCTGTCCCATGTTTGTGTGTCCTCCCAGCTGTCCCATGTTTGTGTGTTGTACCAGCTGTCCCATGTTTGTGTGTTGTACCAGCTGTCCCATGTTTGTGTGTTGTACCAGCTGTCCCATGTTTGTGTGTTGTACCAGCTGTCCCATGTTTGTGTGTTGTACCAGCTGTCCCATGTTTGTGTGTTGCACCAGCTGTCCCATGTTTGTGTCGTACTAGCTTCCCTCAACCCTCATGACGTGTTTAGTGGAGGTAGGTCACATGTTTGTCTGTTGGTGAGATATTTTCCTGCAGGCTTCTTTGTTAACTCTTATAGAGCACCATACAACTTACTGTCATTTTACTTGTTACTGTACATATGGTATAGAATAAACAGGAAGTAAATCTCACCTTGCGATTTTTTAGAAGGCTAAATGTTGAATTAAGAATCGATATCACAGCACTTAGGACACTCCAGCTGCAAGCAAAGAATTCCGATGGCGCCAGTAACCGTCTGATTTTATATCCATCTCATCCTTCCCCTGAGTGGTAACTCCTTGCAGTGCCATTCTCCTCAGACCATAATGATGTGTCTGCGCTTCCACACTGTTCACTCGTTCCCAAAGGGCTCTCACAATATCTAGCTTGTCATACATCAGTTCACCACCAAGTGGTGCAGAGCCGGCCAATATATCTGCCTGTTCCTTTACCAAGACACCGGCATAACCTGGAGAAAATATCCAAAGGAGGCTATCTACTGGGGACCTCTGAAGTGATGCTTGCCACTCTGCACGAAGCATGCCTGTCTTCACCTTTCTCAACATGCTCTGTGAGTCAGTTACAATCACAGTATGTATGTACAGCTGATTCTCAAGATTCGGAAGGCTACCAATGGCAGATAAGAGAGCAGCCCGTTAAATGTCCTTAAATGTTAGCTTCTGGCCACGGTTTATCAACACATGTATCTCCACATTTGGACAAGTCCACGGTTTAGTTACCTCAACTACTGAGTTGAATTCATGGCACACCAGTGTGAGCTGTGGATTCTGTGTGAAATGTCTGTCATCTCTGCCTATTGTGGTTTGTTTTGTGCTATTAAGAAAATGGCAAGTGGCCATTTTTCTTCCTCTGGCTTTCAGTGTGCCTTAGGCAGTACTGACCAGCTTGTTACCACTGACTGCTTCCATTAGTGACAAATTGCAAATTCTGGTGGTGATTGTTGGTTTTGGCAGCTCTAGAGGCTGCCTTCTGCATTTAGTTCATGTGCATATTTCTATATGTTTTAGTGCAAACTGTTTGTTCACTAGCTTTCAAAAGGGATAATGGAGAACATTTTGCTTGACTTTTACTGGCATAGGAAGAGAGCACTTATAGAGTGAACCTTTTGCAGGGAAGTTGAAATCTACTGAGTGCTAATCGCCTTCCTATTTGAACTTTGCTGAAATTGTTTCAGTGCTTTTCTTCTTCGTCTTTTCATTCACTGGCTGTAAACTGGTGAAAAGTTCTGGTTGTTCATTGACTTCTGGACTTTGGTTTTGTACGAGAAATTGAGTTTTGTGTGTATATTGGTTTTACATATATGGCTTATATGTATGCAGACTTTTGGTTTCTTGCTTCTCAGTCAGATGCACTCCAACTTGAAAGAAAATGGCCCTAATTAGTTGACTTTTAGGGCAGGGGATGGTGGGTATGTCCTGTTTTCCTCCAACACTCAAGCCATGGAATCCACACATCGTGATCAAGTAGGATTATCACTGGAGCTAAACAGTGTTTGCTGCTCATATTTTGTATTGATGTTCATGTTACTATTTGTGGATTGTATTATTTTTGTTACTAGCAAGCTATCTTTCTTTTCCTTTCTGTGTGTGTGTGTGTTTTTTAAAGTTATTTTTTTTAAATGTCTTTTTCCCCGCTTCATGTGTAGAGGGGGGTTTAAGCTCTGCTTATTTCTCTTCTGGCCGACTTGACCATACATACATCGTGTTGTTGTAAAGTTTCTCTGATGTTATCTTTCCATCTTGTCCTTGGTCTGCCTTGTGCTGTACACCGTTCTTCTCTTTTGGTGTAAGGCTTGTATGGGATGGCATCAAAGGCATTCTCTCTAAGTAGGCAAACCATTTGATTTGCTGTCTTTGTATGTAATTTAGTTAGTTGTGTACCGACTTGTTCTTTTATGACCTCATTCCTTATGTTATCTGTAATGGTCCTCCTGCAACCCTTCTCCGACATCTCATTACCGTGGTTACTAAACTAATTTACCTTTATGGTATATTTAATTAAAGAAAGAAAATTTAGTCAAAACATTCACTGCTAATGTTTTGTATTTTTCATTTGCCAAACTTAGGAGTCGTACAGTGGAACCTCGGTTCCCGAAATTAATTTGATCAGAAAGCTTGTTTTGAGATCCAGCTGTTCACAAACTGAAACCATTTTTCGCATACAGATTAATTCTGTAAAATTCTGTCATGGGTTAATCCACTTTTTTTGGCTCTTAAAACTTTTCTTTCTACATTGCTTCAATCACTATTCTTTTCCGTTGCCATGATGGCTTATTTTCTATTAGTGTATGTGAAAACAACAAGAAAACAACAAAATTGATGAACAGACTTGAGATTCTACCAGGAATCAGCACTGAGAGGTGATTGTTGCGTAACTGACTCTTTGACACTGCATATAGTTGACGGTTTGAGACTTGGAATTCTCTTCATTTACCGAGGCATTTTGCTTGGAAAATATGTTAGAAACTGAGTTGTTAGAAAATTTGTTTTTCGTGACCGTGGTTACATTACATTGTATACTCTACAAAAAAAGATGCATAGATAGCCATTTGTAATAGTTGACGGGAAAGCCTATGCACCTAAAAACTGTCAATGACCCAGATGTAAAAGAACTGTCAATTGATTGGTCAAACCCTAAGGTATTATTATGTGCAGTTTGAACAATTTCACTTTTTAAATTACGGAAAATTTGAATGTCAAAATGATGGAACAATTATGTTTCTTTCAGTATCTATACTCTTCCCCGTGTGGGTTCCGGGGCCCCATCATGGGGAAAACAAGAATAGACCCTCTGCCTACCCATAAGCATGTCGTAAAAGTTGACTATTTGGGGAGCTTCCTTTGAAATCGGAGTGCATCTGCCTGAGAGGCAAGTAACCAACAGTCTGCATTTAAGTGAATCAGATCTGTAAAACTGATGCACACGCAACACTCAGGTTCTGGAGCAGGACTGCAGTTCAGAAGTGGACGAACAACCAGAACTTTCCACCAGGGTGTACAGCTGGTGAACGCGAAGAAGAAGAAGAAGAAGTATCTATACGTTTCTAATCTTTTTGATGTTGTTGTTTTGAGTAGCAAGTATCCACACATGTTTTATACTGACTCAATAATAGTGAATGATTGTTTCCCTCCCTCAGGTTTCCAAAATTCATGACATCATCGAATTCCTGCTGGCCTGGGAGAAGGATTTCCTGGCATCGGATCAGCCGAGTGCTGGGGTCGTCAACACTGTGTTGTCTGTTAATGCCATCCTGGAGGTGAGACTGAGCCTGTATGCCCTTGCCCTTGCCCTTGAGTATTTTGGAAAGACACACGGACCATCCATGTGCTCTTTCTAAGACATTGTACAAATTAGTCTGTGTCTCTGAGGTTGTTTTTGACACCATCATTCCATTTTGGGTTTCTGCCTTCCCCTTGCTGTATGTTCATTATAGGTCATGTGCTGACACCTTTCCATGACCTTAGAAAAAGACTGCCAAGATTCATTTCTTTTTTTTTCCCATCTGTCTCTCTTTCCAGCAATCTCACCTTTTTTTTCTTACATTTTATGGTTTACCTATTGTCCAAGATTCACACCCATATGTTAAATCTGGTTCTATACAAGGCTAGAAAAAAGTGCTTGTACTGACCACAAAATGTCTACGCAAAAAAAGGGAACGGTACTCTTCTTGTTTTCATCTGTCTCTCTTTCCAGCAGTGTAACTCTCTCCCCCCCCCCCCCCCCCCCCCCATTTTCTGGTGAGTTTACCAGTGTCCAAGATTCACACCCGTATGTTAAAAGTTGGTTCTGTGCAGTGCTTTTTTCTGTCTCAACAAAAAGGCCGGTATTCACCACAAAATGTCTAACAGCACTCCTGAAAAACAATTCCTAAAAAAGGTGTCATTACTGTATACCACCAGGAAAAACCCCATGTTTTAATAAAGTAATTTAAAAATGACTTGTTATATATGTTCACTTGGTGACGGCTAAATACATTTTATTAAATGCGAAATGTAGACAAAGATAAAATACAAAGAATAAAATGCAAAATCAAGATAAAGGTAAAAAAGAGATAATGATAAAGTGTATGAAATCTTGTTGCAGTCCATGCTGCATGGTGCACTAAGGTACAGACAAACACATGCAGACTTGTATGCGGGCAACAATGAGAACATACCAGAATACATTCCCTGGTCGGCCACCAACAGTATGAGAAAATGTATCGTAGAACAGGTAGGTCAACTACACAGCTGTTATCGTTACGTGCCATAGTTTTTCTTTCTTCTGTTGTTGACATGTGCCATTATTAATGAAAATATAATTTGCCAGAGACAGGACAGGACGTCGGCAAAAAGAAAACACGGTCGCTCAATAACTTTTTCTTCTTATTTTTCCTCCACTTACCTCAGCAGAGTGTTGGAGGGGCAGAGTGTTGAAGTGGCGGAATGTTGGAGGGACGGAATGTAGGAGGGGCAGAATGTTGGAGGGACGGAATGTTAAAGGGGCAGAATGTTAGCCGGAGATGTATTATCGGTGTGGGCTTTATGATACACTGTAAACGGTCTTTATTTCTCTAAGGCTGTTCTAGATGCCTTTGTTCCATCTGTTATTTAGCCTTCCCTCTGCTGGAGAATTATAATATTTCTTCAGCATGGCACTGTGTGGCATTTGGACAAGATAAAATGGCCAGTGTAATAACAGCCGTATAAGCTAACACACATTTGTCAGGCAGTCATAAAATAATTTCTAGTACCCTGTTTTTTTTGGGTTGTATTTGTGCCTTCAGGGCGCTGCATGGTTTCGAGACATGGTGTCCGCCTCAAGGGCTAGAGGTTCAGGGTTCAATCCCCGGTAATGGCTGGGATTTTTCCACGTGGACTTCTAGTAATTCCCCTGCTCTCTGGGTACAATACACCGGCATACCCCAGTGAAAAGATCCAGACGGTGCTCCTCACCCATGACCTCCGAAGCGAAGCATACCACTGTGCACAAAGCATGCCTGTCCTTAACATGCTTTCTGATTGTAGACCTAAGGGCTGGGATTTTTCCACGTGGACTTCTAGTAATTCCCCTGCTCTCTGGGTAGTGAGATTGGATACCCGTGTGTATTGTTGCACACGTAAAAAAACAAACTTGGCAGTTGGAAATTGAAAAGAGTAGCCTAACGGCGCTGCCCGGGCAAAATTGTGAGTTAAAAATCTACCCACAGTATTTCAGGATCCTCGCCGGTGCTACAGAGCCTGTGCACTGTTCTGAGCTTCTTTGGACCCAGACTTGAGTTAGAAGAAGAACGGAGCACTTATTGGTTACTGCCCGTGTGCCATGATGTTGATTCATTATTCAAAACCTCAAATTTGTGCCTTGGGCACATGAGGCTAGACCTTTGTTTGTTACAACTGATCAGCACTGAGTTTATGCTGGGGTCATCATCACAGTGTACGCCTTTACTTCCCTAAATATTTCATGGAATCTACTGTATTTCTCCCTGTATACCACGCCGCCATGTTTAGGACAACCTCTGTTTTTTCAAAGTCCAGAATTAAGAAGTAAATATTTTAAACACATTTCATGTATTAGACAACTCTTGTTTTTTAAACTAAAAAAAAATTTCTGAAAACAAATCGTCTTAAAACAAATACATTTCCCAATACACCGGCATACCCCAGCGAAAAGATCCAGACGGTGCTCCTCACCCGTGACCTCCGAAGCGAAGCATACCACTGTCCCCAACATGCTTTCTGATTGTAGACCTATGGGTTTGATTGTGGACTCCATTGATTGTGTTTTTGGGTGCCGTTGTTTTGGGTCTCTCTGGGGAGGGCTGCTGGAGCTATAGAGATATGTGCCTTAGGTGGCGTTTTCTGTGAGCAAGTGTCTATTCTGTGGATGCAGACAAAGCCATAGGGGATCAAACATGGTGCAGTCTTCTTCCTTTTTGCTTTCATCGGCTGTAAACTCAGATGGAAAGTTATGGTTGTTTGTCCACTTCTGGACTTGTTCCGAATCTTGAGTTCTGCGTGCACATCAATTTATAGATCTGGCTTATTTATGTACGGACTGTTTGTTCCTTTCCTCTCAGACAGATGCACTCTGACTGTGACAGAAACACTCCCAGTTAGCAGCCTTTTATGACATGCTTGTTTGAGGGGTGGCGGGGGGGAGGGGTTGGTGAATCAATTTTTATTTTCTCCCAAAATTGGGTTCGGAACCGATATGGGGGACTTTGTGCAGTAAAGTAAGTCTTCTTGTCTTCAAACACATTTGTGCATTGTGTCTAAAATAGGGACATTTAAGACTGGGCTTCTTTCTTTCAGATTGGCATCAGCCTCCAGAAAGGTGTGGCCGAGTCTCGTGAGGTAGATGTCCAGGGCACTCTGTTTCAGAACATTGTAGGACTTGCAGACATTGTCATGGATGGTTATGCCAGTCAGTTGAAATCCTTGCAGTGTCATCCCGAGCGGACTGAGGACTATTCAAAACTGGAGCGGGAGTTTGAGAGGGAAAGACATAAGATCATTGCGTCTCTTCGTACGTGATTTTCATTTTATTAGAAGATAGTATGTTGTTTCTTCTTAGTATTTTTTTCAAGGGGAGCATTTGAGCCTTAATTAGTCTTTAACATACTATGCCAGGGTATGCGAGTGTTCAAGGGAATGAGCGTGCAGACTATCTTGCTGACACTGCAGTTGTTATGGCTGGCCCAATACTGGACAGAAGTGATGTTATCAATGCTATGCGCTGCACTTACCATACCGAGGAGCACAACAAAGGACATGACTCCGTATTCCAGTCTAGCCTGATGGACATGGGGGTGCAGCCTGGAGCTGCAAGAAATGAACATTTCACTAAGGGGACAAGACGTTTTATTAACCAATACAGAACAAGCTTTTGAGGAGGAGATCGGAGCACCTGTGGATCTGTCCGGAGTGCTGTGATGATAATCCTTTCTAATCATTAATCACTAATTATACTGTGCTAGGTGTAACAAGGAAAGATCGACTTAGGAACGATGATACCAGGCGGAGAGTCAACACAGAACCAATACTGAACATTCATTAAATGTTGATAAATCAAATGGTTTGGCCATATAACAAGATTAGCATCAGACAGGGCATCACAGAGAGCAATGCTATACAGTAACAGAGCCAGAAGTCGACCACGCAGAAGATGGACCGCAGAACTATCAGAGATACTGAAAAGTACTTGATACGAAGAGAACAGAAGGGGCCCGTTCCAGAGATCTCTTCCTGCCCTGACACCCTGAGGTTTTCCAGGAGTAGAGGACAGAAGAAGATATTGTCCCCATGTGTTGTGCTGGCAAACGTAGGCTGTCATGTTTTGTCATCTCACACGATCACGAGAATCACAGATCAGTTCAATGTTTTTGTCTCGCCCCATCCATCTGGCCAGGCCATCCAGGTATTTATCACTTCACCTTCCTCTTGCTGTCTTTCCATCAGTCTTGCCAGCTGTTACAAAGTTCTTGAGTCTCTTCCTTCTTATAATATGTCGGTTAGTCTCCCCCAGACCCCGCCCATTTACACACTAGCTCACTTCTGATTGTAGTTCCTGAGCCCCGTGGTTCGCACATGGTTACGGGGGGGGGGGGGGGGGGTGTGTGTGTTCTGCAATGCCGTTGATATCGCATATTGTATATTTCAGCACACCAGTGCTTTTAACACTCCAAAAACATGGAAAAACAGGGTCTAACACAAACAAACACACCCCCCCCCCCCCCCTTCCCCCCAAGAGTGCTGCAACCTATGTCACAGGCATGCTTTCTCAGAATAAAAACGTAAATGCAAGACATTGCAGAAACCAAACAAAAGAGCGGGACACACCCGTAACCTTCAGGAAAGCTGCCCAGCCCAACAAACTTGTGAATGAAAAGTGACCCACTCTATTTGGGGAGATTAACTCCAAAATCTAATAAAAATGTCTTTAAAATATTGCCTGTCTGTGTCTAATTCTTCGAATAGGTTTACAACTTTTCATCTGTCTCGTTGAGGACTACTCCTTTTGTTTTTATAATCTTCCATAATATTCTTTGCGTTTTTCTCAGTTGTTGTTATCGATCCAGCGGCGCATGAGCTTTCGCCCTTTGGCCCAATGCCATGTAGTGGAATTTGCATGTTTTCACAAGCTGTTCTTTTCCTCCGTACAAGGTGTTCCACTTGTCTGGTCTCGGAGGGAGTAGCGTTCTTCTTGTCTCACTGAGTTTTGGGCACTCAAAGAGATGGTGTTCAACAGTTTCGTAGGGGTAGTTACATAGCTGGCACTCTGGGGAGTGTTGTGGCTGTATTCTGTTTAGGTGTCCATTGAGTGGAGTATGTTGCGTTCTAAGTCTGAAGATGGTGGCCTGGTCCCTTCTTGTTAGATGGTTAATGCTGTCATTAGGATCAGGGCCAGACATATGTCTATAAACCTCTCTTCCAGTGTCTCCCATGGCCCATCTGTTCAACCAAGTCTCTTTGTTTATAGCTCTTATCAGTGTTTTTGCTGTCTGGAGGGTTGTCGCTGTAGGTGGTTGTTCTTGAGTTGCTCCTTTCTTTGCCAATCTGTCAGCTCTGTCATTACCTGGTGTGCCGGAGTGACCTGGAATCCACTGCATCACTATTCTGATGTTGTATGAGGTAATAAGCTGATCGGCATCCAGGATTATCTTGGCTATGTCAGTTCTGCAGCGTTCATTGCCCTCCAGAGCTTGAAGGGCAGACATTGAATCTGTGAAGATGACAATATTTTGGACCTTTGAAGGGTAAACATCCATTACAGTCTTTAGGTGGTATACTGCTGTTTCCAGTGCAATTATTTCAGCTTCATAGTTTGAACAGAATTCCCCGCATGCATCAAAAATCTCTTCAACAGATCCATCGGGATAACCTATGTAGATTCCGTAACCTGCTTTAATGGTAGCTTTAAATGCTGATCCATCAGTATAGACATGTATCCATTCTTGGGGGTAAGAATCAACGGTCTTTAGTGATGAGTTCATAAGAGCGATTGGGTCGGACTGTTTGGTTTCCTCGCCTACCAATTTAGTTTGGACTTCTGGAGCTTTAAAGCGAGCATGTGGTGGTAGGTTTTTTGCAACATTCTGAATTCCTTGACGTCTTTCTGGGAGGTGGTATCTGTCCTGAATTTCATTAACACAGTGTAAAACCGATTTGTGCTTTATTCTTTGTTTGGATTCCCAGTTTTCTACAAGATGTCTATTAGGATGGTTACGATTTTTCCTAACGCATCTTTCATAAATTTCTAAAGTGGCTTTTTCTCTCCGCAACCCGAGGGGTTCCACATTTGTATGGATTTCACATGCAGCAGTTGGTGTAGACTGCATAGCTCCGCAGATTAATCGGAGGGCATTATTTTGTACTCTGTCAAGAGTCTCTAGGTTAGTTTTGGAACAAGTTGTAAGCAGTGAGTTGTTGTACTCTATCACAGAGCGAACATATCCTAGGTATAAGCCCCTCAGAGTTTCCTTGTCTGATCCCCATGATGTACCTGCAAGTCTCTTTAATAACTGTAACCGCCTCAATGCCTTATTCCTGATGTTTTCAATATGGTTCTTGAGGCTGAGCTGCGGGTCAAGTGTGACTCCAAGGTATGTGGGATGCTCTTCTTTCATCACTTGGTGTTTGTCTAACCTCAGGTTAATATTCTTCCTTGCTACTTGGTGGCTTTTGGTAAAGATTGTGTAGACCGTCTTTGCACAGTTAATCTTGAGTTTCCATCTTTGGCAGTAATCATGCAGTCTTCTAAGGTCTCCATTCAGTCTTTGGGCTCCACTTTCCACATTTTCATGACTCTGCCATATTGCTAGGTCATCAGCATACAAGGCTTTTTCGGCCTTGATTTGTTCTGGCAGGTCATTGATAAAGATTAGGAATAGTGTACAGCTCAATGATGAGCCTTGTGGCAAGCCCTCCTCCAAGACTTCTTTAGAAGAGATTGCGTTGTGCATCTTAGTCTGGATTGTTCTATCTATCAGGAAGTATTTCACCCAGTTATACAATCTGCCATGTATTCCTATGCTCATCATCTTCATCAGGAGACCTTTTCTCCATACTCTGTCATAGGCCTGCTGGAGGTCGACAAAGACTGCCACTGTGTGTTTCTTATTCTGGAAGCCATCATGTATTCTTTTGTGTCAGTCTGAACAGCTGGTCTTCTGTGCAGCTGTTGGTTCTGAAGCCTGCCTGTTCATGGCATAGAACACCAGAACTCTCAAGGAACCAATATAAGCGCCTGTTTATCATTCTTTCTGCAACTTTGCCCAAGCATGATGTTAAGGATATCGGGCGGTAGCTTTTGGGGTCATCTGGAGGCTTTTTGGTTTTAAGGATGGGGACGATATATGCATTCCTCCATGCCCTTGGAAGTTTGCTTGACCTCCAAGTTTTATTAATAAGCCTGAGAACTACTTCTCTCCCAGACCGGCCAAGATGTAGCAGCATTTCGTTGTGGATCTTATCTGGGCCTGGAGATTTTCTAGGTTTTAATTTCTTCAGGGCTTGCTCTAATTCATCCATGCTAAATTCATTTTCAAAAAGGGAGTCGCTGGCTGTTGGAGCTCTCTCTTGTTTCTTCAACTGAGAGAGCTGTGTTCTATTGAGTTCTGACAGCTTACCTGCTCTGTTAACTGAGGCAAAATAATGATTGAAATGTTCTGCTTTCTTCTTGTCTTCAGTGATTGTCTTACTCCCATCTGTCACTGGTTTTGGGTTCACCCTTCTACTTTCTCCGGAGAGGTTTTTAACTAAAGTCCATGCTTTATTTCCATTCTGTCTAAGGTCTAAGTTGGAGCAAGTTTCTGTCCATTTATCTCTTTTAGCCTTATTAACTACAAGCTTTACTCTGGCACATGCTTTATTGTATTGGATCTTTGCTTCTGTTGAACGTGCAGTTTCGAGAAATATTCTTGCTTTATTCCTTTCAGATATAGTATTTTGAATTTCTTGATTCCAAAAAGGTTTATATGCCTTCCGGCTGCCCCTTGGGATGGCTTTCGACGCTGCATTCAGGATTGCTTGTGTTATGTCTTCACAAAAAAGTTTCCACACAGCTGTTGTCAATTCTTCCCAGGAGGCAGTCAGATGTTTCCTGAAATAGTTTCCAGTTTGCTTTTCGGAAATTCCAACGGGTTCTCTTCTCTGCTTGAAGCGTAATTTAGGGGTGGTGCTTACAGTTGTGAGTATAGGTTTGTGGTCACTTCCTATATCGTCCAGGACTTGGGGATAGCTTGCGTCTGCTAAGTCGGATGAGCAGATGGTCAGGTCTGGTCTGCTGAGAGATAGGTGGGCCCTGTGTAACAGTGTAGGTGTAGACTCTGTGTCCTGCAGCACTAATAGGTTAGTTGTTTCACAAGTATCTTCGATGTACTTCCCTGTGCTATTGTAGTCAGGGTAACCCCAACGTGGCGAGTGTCCGTTGAAGTCACCAACAAGAAGGGTTTTATGGTACTGTGTCTTGTATAGTTCTGGTATGTTGCATGTTGTCTGAGGTGGGCTGTACACGTTGTATATCGT